ATTTAAACTATGTAAGGGCAAATGCTCATTTGAAAAAGAAGTATTAAAGCTAGACTATATGAAGGAACATACACTCAGGAACAACATCATAGCAGCATTTCTGTGGACAAGATTAATCACAAAAATAATGTTTTATGAACATAATATTTTAAGTACATTTTTAAAATCTGGCTATTAACTATAAGGTCAATTGATTCTTTTCTTCCTGCTCTTTTGTGGTTAACATACTTATTCTTCCTTTTAAAGACCCTTTTTATTATGCAAATGAAAAAATGGAAAGACTTCCCGCCTGAGAGAGAGGACTAGCTTTTTGCAGGGCAGCCCGTGCACCATTCAGCCCTCAGCCCTCACCTCTGCCTCCACTGGCTGCCAAGCTGGAGACTCAGTGGTCAGGGTTACTGGGTGTGGGGTCCTTGAATTTTGACTTCGCATATTCTTTGTGACTTACTCTTGTTCTGCCGTATAGCTGCCCCCTCTCCAGCGCGCAGCGTGCCAGCAGCAGCTGCACCATGGTGCTCGCCCCTCTGCCAAGAGGGCAGGCGGCCTCCTTGGAGACTGTAACACTGCACTGCAGCCAACTGTTAGGAGATAGATGCTGAAGTGGTGCACACAGCACAGCTGAATTCAGATCCTTCTAGGAGGCATTTGGCTCAACATTCTGAACATGGGATTTGTAAAGTTGATTTAATTTCTGGAAAGTTTTCATTATGGGAAATTTTCAAACATATACAGAGGTAGGAAGAACGCTGTCATGTCCCCCCAGTGGACCTTCCTTTCCTCCATTTCAACAATGATAACGTACTGTCCGTGGTGTTTCCCTACCAGACTCCTGGTAGATTCATTTCCAGGGAAACATGTCTGTTAAATTACCGTGGCTTTTCTAGCCTCCTTCAGTCTAAGATCTGTCACCGTAATGACTTTCTGTCCTTTCTTCCTAAAAGTAAAAGATAATTAGAGTCTTCTTTCCTTCTAATTTAAGCCACGATAATACTATGTTAGGAACTGTCATATTTTCTAATACTGTTCCCTGAATTTTCAAGGCTTTGTTCATTCAGTCAGCCGATCTATCCAAAGCACGTCTGAAGTGTGAAGGAACTGCAAATGTATGAGAGCATTAGAGATCACAGTTTTACCGCAGATGAGCTGTGGAACCTGGAACCACTTCTTCACCATTCTGTGCCTACTGTCCTCGTGATCTTAGCGTGGGATTAACAATAGTGCACAGCTCACAGAGCTGTAAGACTTAAAGGAGTGACTACATTTAAACTGCCTAGATGGACCCTAGCACAAAGTAAGTGCTTGATATATGCTAGTTGCTGTCATTGGCATTGTCACTTTTTGTCCCTCATCACTCATGTTACAGAAGAGGGAACGGAGGCCAGGTGGGTGAAGTAACCCCTTTCTGGTCATAAGGCTGTTTTATCAGGAGAACTTGAATAAGAAACCGCATCTCAATTCCTTTATTATTCTAGATATAGTCTGATGTAGTCTTGTCCTCAAGGAATTATGCTCTGGAAGAATTATTTGCAAAGGAAAGGGAGGAGAATTAGTGAAAGCATGAACAAAGAAATAAATATTGCTGCAGGAAAGTTAAACCTTACAAGTTTCATGTTTAGCAAGCAAAGTGCTTTAGTGGAGAAGGTGAGATTTCAAGAATGCTTATTTAAGAAGGAAGGTGATTTGGCTAATGAAATGGGACAACACCCCATACTCAAGGAAGGAGGAAAAGAAGGTTCAAGTATAGGATGAGACTAACAGACCCAGGGAATATTTGCACCTGAGGTGAAGAGAGAAGGCAGGATTTCAGAGGAGAGGGGAAGGTTATGATTGTTTGAACCACCAGCGAATGCCAAAAACAAAAGGGATGAATGGACTGATTCTTTATCTAAAACCAAGTAATGGGGGCTGACATTCTGAAAGTTTTTACTCACTTTAACATATGTTAAGCACTATTCTACTCACAAACATTATTTAATTCTCATAACAATCCTATGAAATAGCTACTATTATTGACCTCATTATACAGCCTAGGAAACAAGTTAAAGAGCTTGCCCAAGGCCGTTTGCCTATTATTAATACGCAGGTGACCTTGGCTTTACAAGAGCCCTGGACTCTGTGCCCCTAGCCACTCAGCCCTGCTGCTGCACGGTAACCAAGCCCTGGCACGTACTTGACCCTGGAGACACCAGCACCTGGTGAAGCCCTTCGCAGAGCCTGGAACTGTGGCATCATTACTTGCTAATGCCTGTGCTGTTATTAAAGTCCCATTTAGGTTTCAGCAGGCAAGTTCTGCCCACTGCATAATGGACCTTTCTAATAAGCTTTGTCATAACAGGGTGTGGTTCCTTTGGTTCTCTTTGCAATCCTAAGGAAGCACTCCACTGTGTCACTTTCACACCAAGTTTAAGACCACTCTTGAGAGGGACGTGTTCACTGACTCCAAGCACTCCATGAGGGCTCCTCTCCGTGGTGGCAGCACCTGGAAGAGAGCAGTTCCTCCTTTGCAGAATCTCCACTGATTTTTCCTTTCTTATGACTGTCTTGTCATCGGCACATGAACTGCCATCCTTTCTCCCAACTTAAGAGACAGAAAATAAAATCAAGAGAAAGCTCACCAGACCCCAAATTCCTTTCCAGCTACTGGCCCATATCTCTTTTCCTGTGTTAAGGCATAATTTCTTCAAAAAATTTTCTGTTCTCACATTTGTCTTCACCTCCTTTCTTCCCTTACCCTTTTAAACACACACCAAGAAGACTTTCTCCACCAGATCTCTCACCCAGCTCTAACTCGAATTATATCCCCTACCTATTAACAGTTCCACCTGGATGTCTGGTAGGCACCTGGAGTGACCAGACCTGAACTTCTGATCTTCCTGCTTAGGCCACGAACTCTGACTTCATCCTTGGCAACACTCTTGCTCTTATACCCCACATCCATTCCATCAGTAAATCCTGTTGGCCCTACTCTGAAAGTCTATCCAAAATCGAACTGTTCATCTCACCTTTATTATCACAACCCTCATCCACATCACTCACCTCTGTCTTACCCAGCTGGTCTTCCTGCTTTCTTACCTGGCCACCGAACCCCTCACTGCGTACTGTCAACAAAGCAACCAAAGTGACCCTTTTAAGACATCCGTCTGAATATATCTCCTTTGCAACAATACGGCCTTTTTATTCCCACACGCAACAACATGGACGACTCTCCTGAATATAATGTTGAACGAAGGAAGCCAGAAACAGGAGTCCATATTGTATGATTACCTTCATTTAAAATACAAAAATCGGTAAAACCAATCTATGCTGTCCTAAGTCAGGACAGTGATGGGGACAGAGACACGAGTTGATTGTGACTGAAAAAGAGCACCATACGGGTTTCTTGACCTGGGTGCTGGTTGCTCACAGGAGGTTAAGTCCCAAAATCTGGCAGGCTGTTAAACTTTTGATATATTTTACACTTCCATAAAAAGTTTTCAAAAAATTACTTCTTATGCAGAAAATCATTCTTCTATAGCCTTAGATAAAGAATTTATCAGCACGTGTAACCCTTATGATGTAAACCCTAAGCAGGCGAAAATCTCATCTGCTGTCATCCAATCAATCGATATTCATTGAGCACTAGGCACTGACCTGGGCGTTTTGGGATACAGCAGTGAACGTGAGAAAAACTCCTTGAGCTTCCAAGGGATTATAATCAGAATAAATTGGGTGAATGAAACAAGGGGCTAAGCGCTATGAGAGGAAGAGAGCGGGGCGGGGCGCAGGGAGTGCTGGAGTGGAAGAGGTGCAGAGAGCAGGCAGTTTCAAGAAGGCGGCCAGGGGAAGGCCTCGTTGAGAAGGTGACGTTGTGGGGCCAACTTGGAAGGAGCCGAGGGAAGGAGCCCGATGTGTATCAGGGAGCAGAGCCTCCTGGGCAGCGGGACTGGAAGGCAAAGGCCTGAGGCAGAAGCGGGCTGGCTGTGCAGCAGCAAGAGCAAGGAGGCGGTGAGCCTGGGCAGAAGGGAGCCCAGCAGGCTAGCTGGGGACATGGTCACCGAGGGCCTGGTAGGCCTCTGTAAAGACTCCAGAGTTTTATTCTGCGTGAGCCCAGGCGGGGGTGGGAGAGGAAAATTTTATTTAGGTTTCAGGCACTTTTAGTGGCAGGTGGTTCATTCTCGTTGCTGTAAATATACTTCAATTTATATATTCTACAATGATGGATACTTAGGTGGATTCCACTTTAGGGCATACATAGAGTGCTGCTATGGACACCCTACCTCATGTCTTTTGGTAAGCTACTGTATGCACAATATACCACTTTTAAAGAAACCGAACAAGAAATATCAATTTTATGTATTTGAATAACTTAAGTGACATTTAGTTCTTATGAAAGTCAGACAATCAATACCCGTGGTACACATTAGAGGTAAACTCTCCGGTGTGTTAGAGTAAGGCAGTCAAGTATGCAAAGCAGAGAACACAAAGATATGTCAGCTACGTGGCTTGCCCTCAAGGACCCTAGCGTCTAGCTGGGGATGAGAGGCATGCATATGAAACAGCAAATAGCAAGGGCACATAGAGGAAATACCAAGTAACATCCTAGGCAATTTGCTCCATAAGCATTCAGAGGTGGGCAAGGTCACTTTGGACTGTGATGCTATACGATTTCACAGGGAAATCTAGTAATTCTGTAGAGCTGGAAAGCATACGTCGGGTTGGAAAGGCAGAGACAGACCTTGTAGAGACTATCTGGGCTAGGGAAATAGGAAGAATGCCAGTTTGTGTTTGAGAGGTTCATGGATGGGCACTCTGGGTAAGATTAGGGTTTAGGATTCATTTTAAAGCCTAGTAGAGCTTTATATGGATGCATTTCTCAAGTAAAGCAAATCTACATTCTAATCTGGGAATATTTATGTATTCCCCCATTTCTCAGTGACTTTGATGTATTCAGGCCGCATTTACCATCACTAAACCTCCACGTCCATGAGGTCTAAATGATTTGAATATATATGTATTTTTAGACTGGCAAAGAAAACTCATCCAGTGTGACTGTAGCAGGCCCTGAGGCGGAAAATAAGGCAGGCCAGACCCTGGAAAGCAGCTCGTTCATGGCCGAGCTTCTGAGCGACGTGCCCTTCACCCTGGCCCCGCACGTGCTGGCCGTGCAGGGCACCATCAGTGACCTCCCCGACCACTTACTCACCTATGACGTCAGCGAGAACTTGTCACGGTTTTGGTATGATTTTACTCTTGAAAATTCAGTGCTCTGTGATTCTTAATTTTTATGTTTGTTTGTACCATAACAGCTTTAAAACAAAAGTTTACTCATTGTATTTAACCTGTTTGATGTTCTTTGCCATTTCACTGTCCAAAGGTCCTCAGGAAAACAGGGATCATAAAGGAAAGAAATTAACATTATGCCCATTGCTCTGTTTTTCAGAATAAAGTATATTTGTATAAAAATTGAACTTCAATTTTACTTCTTTCCTCCTGAATAACAAATATGAAAACGAGGCAGTCATAGTTTTATGAAAGGAGTAGATTCCTTCAACCAGGTTCTCAAAATACAACATTCAAATTGACCTTAGAAGAACTGTGAAAAAGAACTGTGGCATTTTCCTTGGGTTCCACAAGTGTGAAGTCTGCCCTGAGAGTGAGTGTGAATGCCGTTCTCTGGGTTGGAGGAAGCTTGAATTAATATCACTCTTTCTTATTCTGAAGTGTTTATGAATGAGTTCAGAAAAAAATTGTTGCCAGGTAAGCTGAATTTCTTCAGTCTTGATCTAGACACTGATGGAAATTGAAAACTTGCCCTAAAAAGCAGGGGGATTTGCCCTGGCTGGGCAGCTCAGTTGTTAGAACATCCCAATGTACCAAGGTTGTGGGTTTGATCCATCCTCAGTGAGGGCACATACAAGAAACAGCCAATGAATGCATCAATAAATAAGCAGAACAACAAATAGATGTGTTACTCTCTCTTCCTCTCTAAAGCCAATAAATGAAAAAAAATTTTTTTAAGCAGGGGGAGTTTGCTGATGTAAGAATGCTATAACAGGAATGCTTCGGGATGCTGTTTCTGTGAGTGATAAATTTCAGTTTCCTTAAACCCATGGCAGTCCTTTGCACCTGGAATGACTCTTGTGTTCCTGCCTTTGTTTCCTGCCTGATGCTCCTTCAGGGTGTTCTCCCTCACCGGCTTTCCAAAGGACTTGCCTGCTTCCACCTCCATTAGCATTTATCCACCTGACCGCCTGTGGTCCCAGTGTATGAAGAGATTCACATTTCCTTTCGACCTCTCTGCGCCCCCAGAGAAAAACATCTCACAATGATACATGTTATTGGTGATAACACCCTTACTTAGAAATTTGTTGGCCACAGAACAGATGGAAATGTTTTACCTCTAGAAAAACAGAAATCAACTCATGTCCAATTAGAGGATAGGCAAATCACCTAGATATGAAGTTTAGTTCTTGAATATCCATTATGTATTCCAATTACAACAGCAAAAGACTGCCATTGGTCAATAAACTGCAGAGGGAAGCAGTGGACTGTGATAGAGTGTGTTCCATGCCATGTAAAACTTGGATCCCATTTGTTCGGAATGGTAGCACCATGATTTGTTAATTCTGTGCCAAATTTTAAGTATGTGTACCATAGCAAAACTGAACATTGTGCATAAAGGTACATGAATTACTCAAATTTTAATGTGTTGTGCATGTTTGTTTAATAAATGTGGCATGTTCTTGATTAAAAAATGCTATGTTATTTAAAAGATAAACATTTTATTGACAAAATATGTGTCATTTACAAATAATTCTACCACATGAGGTAAATATATTAGATCTTTACATAGTTTTCATTAACCATCAGTCTAGTAAATGACTTACTAGTAACACAAATATGAACATTTTACATCAGTTTTTGCAAAAGCCCATCCTTTTTAATATCCATGTTAATGTACCTTAGAACCAAATGTAAGCCTGTTATCGATTTACCTAATATATGTATTAAATTTTGTCTCAAATGCTGACACATTTCATTTATATTTTTGCCTACCATGTGATATAAATGCTTATACATATTTTCATTTGTCTAAAAATTGTTATATTTAAATATGAATAAAATAAACTGATATTTTGATTAATTTCAGATCCAGAAAAATGATTTTCTTTGCATTATTCATGTCTGAATGCAATTTACTGATTCTTTGTGAAGTAAATATTTAAGTAGTTTGTGTAGTGTACACAAAAGTATGAAACTTGCTCTTATATGTAAATTTTAAAGGAGTAACATTGAAAACGGTAAGATCACTTACTAGTTCTGCTTAATAGGACTGAAGAGAATTGAGAGAAATCACATGAAGATCCCTAGATAGATTCCATTATCACAAACTTTAGTAAGTGCTAGTGTTAATAACCTATTATTAACAAAAACATTGTGGAAATGTCATTTTAATTTTCTTCTCCTATATATAAATCAATGGTACTATTTTAAAACTGGAAGAAAGCATTAGACGTCAACCAGCCAACTCATTTTACCCAAGAGAAACTTGAAGCCTAGAAGGGTTAAAGGACTTAAGTCACCTAATTAGTGATAAACAAACATTTACTTAAATAGTATTAATAATGACAAATTATAACAAAGCTGTATGCTGTGGTGGTAAAAAGTTCAGGCATTTGAGGCAGGCCGGCAGAGTCTATAATGGGTCCCCCACTTACAAGCTGTGGGACTTTGAGTCAGTCCCCTAACTTTGGTGTCCTTAGTTCCTTGCTTATTAAATAGTAATTGTGTGTACCTTGCAGGGTTGTGCTAGGTTTCAGATGGTGCATGTCAAATGCCTGGCGGTACAAAGCTTGACACATCGTCAGTGTTCTGGGAACAGGAGCTGTTACAATTCTCACTAGTAACCACATACAAACCATAGTCTAATGAGAAACAAAATAGGTATTAACTGAACTTCTTAAAGAGTAATATAAAAAATAGCTACTATATTTATTGTACAACCTTCCCACCCATTATTTTTTTCCATATTAAGTACTAACTCATTATGAAAAATATTCCTAAAATATGTTGGTTGACTCTTCCGTAGTTCCTTAGTTAAGAATTCCATAGGGAACACTTTTTTCTCTTATTATCAAGCATCATGGTTTTTTCCTCTTAACAAGTTTTCATTATAAAGTACTGTAGGTATGGAACGTACAAGTGATTTTACTGAATCTTATTTTTATCCCTAAAATATATGTAGGAAGTTGCATGTGTTTTTCAGCTTTTTAAAAATGGCATTTGCATCCTTTCCTAAAAACAGAATTAGAGAGGCAATTCTGACCAATTTCTTACTCTGGTTAATTAAATTGTGGTTAACTGAATTTTTAAAACTGTATCATTAAATGTTAACAAAAGCACATTTCTTGTTAACAATTCTAGAAACTCCACACTAGTTTTCTTTTTTTAAAGTAAACATTCATTGACACCAACACTTTTCCCCTTGCTCAAAACAAAATGATAAATTGAAAACAATATGAAAGACATACCTCCTAAAATTCTGAGAGACCTGATTTCTCATAATTCTAAAAGAAAGATAGGGAGTAGCAAAGAAATAATCCCATCCTTCTTCTAAAACAGTGGTATACCAGACCCTCCCCCCTTACCTCTATCAACAAATGAACACTGCCCTCGGGAATCTAGCAAAGAATGTGTTACCTTCGGAGATTAATACATTGTCTTATTAATCAGGTCATTAATAACATTCACACAATATTTAAGCTTATTGTATAGGTAGCTAAAGGATGTTACATCGTTTAAAGCCATCGAGAAATCTGGTTTTGTGGATATGATCCTTTGAGCCCTGTGTCTTATTACTAAGGCCATGGCCTAAATATTATTGGGAAATCTAAAACTCTCAAAATAGGTCTGACTCCATTCCTACTACAGTGGCCTGAAAGATGAAGTATTTTTATGTATCAGGGAAGTGACTCTTTATGCTATATGGTTTGGTGGATAGGTGTGGGTGAAAAAGAGAGAAAGATGTATTCATTGACATGCAGGAACTCTCTTAAAGTCAACAATGTAATATGTTAATCATCATTTTTTAAATTTAAATAGACTTTTAATTTTAGAATAGTTTTAGGTTTATAGAAAAGTTACAAAAATAGTGCAAAATTCTTGTATACCTCTCACCTAGTTTCCCCTATTTGCTACAACTAAGGAACCAACATTGGGATGTTACTATTAACCAAAATCCACGTTCCATTCAAATTCCATGGTTTCTCTCAATGTCCTTTTTCTTTTCCAGCATCCTATCCTGTAAAATACACTATATTTAGTCATCCTTAGGCTCCTTTTGGCTGTGACAGTCCTCAGACTTTGCTTATTTATTTTCGTGACTATGACAGATTTATGGAGGACTTGTCCAGTAGTTTATAGAATGTCCCTCGACTAGGGTGTATCTGTTTTCACATGGTTAGACTATGGTTATGGGTTTTGGGAGGAACATTACAAAGGTAAAATGCCCTTCAATGAGATCATATATCATATCAAGGGTACATGCTATCAACATGGCACTATTGCTGATGGTTACCTTTGTCAAGTGGCCAAGGTAGTGTTCACCAGGTTTCTCCACTGTGAATGGAGAAACTACCTCCCCATTTTTTATACTCTTCTCTTTGGAATTAAATCAGAAATCATGGCCCACACGCAAGGGGTAAGGGATTACACTCCACATTCTTGGTGAGTTAGGAGCTATGTAAATTATTTGGAATTCGTCCTTATGAGAGATGTCTCTTTTCTCCAATTTATTTATTTATTTATCTATCAGTCATTTACTTATTTATATTGGGACTCCAGTCTAAATCAGTGGTGGCCAAGAGACATATTTACATTTTTATAAAGTGAATAAAGAAAATTTGGAACATTTTACATGGCATAGGTGAATACCTTTTGATGTTGGTTATGATAATATATTCTATAATTTCCTCAGAATTCATTTTTCTATAAATATCAGACGTATTTCTCCTTAAGCTGCCATGGCTATAACTGTATTCAAAATAGCCATTCCCTTTGGGGCTACAAGTGTTGCATTATAAGTGGAGTCCTCTTAGACACTTGGCCTTTTTCTACATCATTCCCATAGTGATTGCGTCTTACCCATAATGTTGTTCTTCACCAAGTGTGAAGAGGCAGGGTTATAGTATAGAATCATTTTCCTTTTTAAAGAACCAAGATAACTCATGATATAAAGAGCTCATCTTCTCTATACTAGATGCCTTTAGTTATAGCAAAAACAGAGTTGAAGCTCCTTAAGAGTCTAAGGAAAGAAATGTTTCAGTTTCTCCTTTAAGAAGTAGTTTTAAAGAAGCAGCATAAGGAAACTCAGTCTTTTTTCAGGGGTGGGGCGAGTACCCCCAAGAAACTCTTTGTACTTCTGATTAACCAAAACTCAACTGTAAGCTAAAACATAAAGTTGATTTCATCCAATTTCATTTGTGGGGGGATCGTCAAAGTAAAAAGCGTCTTATTTTGTCTTTGGAAGAAACCTGAATATAGTTCTTTGTCAAGACTTTTCCCAGTCCCAATTTTCACCCCCTACAAAGGAAATAAATTCCTTACAATCAAAGGTAAGGCAGAGGATAATTGCATCCAGAACAACCCATCAGTACGCTAACTCCAAACCAGCCTACAGACAGCTTGTTAGTTACAACCCAGGCCAGAGAGGGAGTCAGACAATAGACCATTTCAGAGGTCAGTTAAGGAGACGACCTCCCACTTAGGACTGCTGCCAGAGACGTACAATCCAGTGTCTGACATCTGGGTTTTGCAGCTGCAAAGTCTGCCCCTTGTGTGGCCACAGGTGTTGGCTATAACTCTGAGACACAGAAGGAGGAACAGGAAAATGTCAGTTTCGTTGTGCGTATGTGTGTTTAGTGTATGGTTTTTTTCTTTTAATTCTGTTTTTCAAAAATGTACATAATTTATTCATAATTTATTTTGTTTCAAAATTAATGTATTTCTGCAAAATGGCAAGGAACATTTGGGAGCCTAACAAACAAGAAGCTTTTGTTCGTGAACAAGGGCAAAACAAAGCCAAGTTTTTACACCTACAGGGTACACCGTACACTACCATGCTGTGTGTGGCATTGTTAGCTTGGTCATTTGAATAGGACTTCTCAGGACCAAAAAGAAATAAATGGAGGCTGGAAAGCAAATGGGCACTTGGTCTAAGATAAAGCCTAAATACTTATTCTCTCCCTGTCTGTCCTCTCCTGCCTCATCCCAGCTGGGGATTTTCATGAGAATTTGTGTTTATCAACATGTATTTCTGAGCATGGGACAGACTATCTAGCTTCAGAAGTCACACTATACCAGCTGTAACCATCAACTAACACAACTTAAAACAGGAACACTAAACTTTCCTCTTCCCCTTGCCAAGAGATTCAGCTCCTGATTGTGACGCAAATCTAGAAGTTCTACCTCACATAGGTGTTTGAGGTTCCTGACCCTAAACATACAGGCAGCAGTAGAAGTGAAGATGATTAAGAGGATGGAATGACCCTGGTTAACTATATAAAGAGCCAAAAGTCAGTAGCATTTAAAAAAATATGTCTGTACCTCCATAATTAAACATATATTTCCTCCTTGTGGGGCCTACTTCATAGCCTAAAATTAGAAATTAAGTTAATGCTGGAGGAAGAAATCTTTAAATTTCTTTTTCTTATCAAATTTATCCTAAGGAGAAATGCTTGAATCCTCAGGCCCATGTTTCTCCACCTTTTAATGCCCATGTGCTCTATGATGTTCTTCATCTTACTATATGCTCTATATATTCCACCAGTCAAAAGAAGATTTTGATAGGTTTTACTTTGTATATCCTATTACAAAGACAAAAGATAAATCAAATATGCTTTTTAAAACTACAGCCACCACCTCATTTCCCTTAGGAATCCATGCTCTCTTAGTGACGTTCTATCAGACTTCTGCTTAGCACATAACAAATCCTCAATCAGGATCTGTTGGATGAATGAGTGAACCAAGGAAATGTATCATTAAATTATCTATAAATGAGACTTTCCAAAAACAAAAGAATAGAATTTCAACTTTGGTAGTTTTTCAGGCCCCAGTAAGTTCTCCCAA